GACAGAAATTAATAAAAGAAAGTGTTTGGAACGTTGTGCAACTATCTCTATAGAGCAAGGATCGCTTTGCGGCTCAACAAAACAAAAAGGGTTAAAACGCGCTGCGGAAGATGTAGAAAATTCTTTGTATAGACTGCTCAAATGAAAAACACAAGTCATCTCATCCATAGAACCGTAATTCCTTGACATTATGTATCACATTGTTGTTTGCATTTATATTTTGTTTTTATGCTTGTTAACCCCAAAATAGTAGTCGAAGATTGAACTAAACGGAAAATTTAGTAAGGCTCAGAAAACCTTCGCTTAACTAAAGCATATTCAACCGCTTCATGGACCACACCGTTTACAGGCATGATGATGTATTGTCTAAATAATAGTAATAAAAAATTTCGGAATAAGTCGGACAGGTGCGGAAGAAATGGGTACCAAGATGCTGACGCGCATGCGCGTCAGAATGTCCAATGCGGCGCCAAATGTCTGACGCGCTTGCGCGTCAGCCTGTCGTCAACGTGTTAACTTGGATCAGGAATATTTAACTACAAATTCAACTTTGCATTCAAAGCAAAAGCTTTCTATGTTTCGCTGCGATCCACTGACCATAAAAAATGGGTCTTTAAAAATTCTCATTATCAATCAGAAAGGTAGAACTGTAATGTTGAGCGAGGGAGGGTCTCACCCTGTCGTGAGCTGTGAGTAATGACGTGTCCAACATCAATGGTACTGTTCCAAATAGTACATGAAATCCGTACTCCAGTAGAGCTTCGTTGTAGGAATTCACTGAAGATACAGGGCCTTTAAAGCCAGTCAATTTCAACGTTATACTGGTCAAACCAAAACCTTGTTCTTGAGTGAGATGGAGCTCTGTACCAATGAATGAGCGTGAGTTCTCGGCCGAGGTCATCTAAACAGAACATTTCTCGACGTTGTATTGTTTTCCTCTCACAGAATTGATTTCTGAGGTTTCCTCAATCTTCTCGCACCTCCATTAGCGTATGTACTATGAGAAGTGGTGCTGTAGTTGGAGAGTTGGGGGGGGGTTAAGTTTGGGTTAGACTTAGGTTAAGGCTTATGCTTACACATTGGCTTATGCCTAAGCCTATGATTGGGCCTAGGCTTAGTCCTAAGCTTGCTCCGAGCGAATGAACGGCGTCTCAATTTTAGGTGACCTGACCCCAGGAGGAGAAACGCTACGCACCCCTGTTTACTGCCTCCCTCGAGAAGGGCAGTTACCGCCACCCTGTGCGGCTTGTGTGCACTACTATCCCAGCGATAATATCAGTGCGAAAAAGAAGATTCGGGGAGTCACGGGAGATGCAGCCAGTTCAGGGAGGGAGGGGATGTAGGACAAGTCAGATAAAATACGTGGAAAGTTATATTGTCTAGTTCATCCTATATCGGTGAGAGAGTGCAGACAGGCCGTATGGCGCACGTGCCCGCCCCATACTGTAAGAGCTCTTCTCGAGTCAAAATAAGGCGCTCATGCCGTTGGGGAGGGGGCGGAGGACAGCGGGAGACGTTCAAGTAATTTGGGTGCTCAGTATTCAAGATTAGCTTTAGGGACGGAACGGATTTTGGAGGATGTGAGCCATTACTGTCTCCCTGGCAATTACCCCTCTCCTGGGCTCAGTATTTGGTCACCTACCATTGGTCCTGTTTTGAATGTCACCTTCTCCCCCCCCCCCCCAACCCTCCACAACGCCATAAGCGCCCAAGATCATGTACGATAGAACCGTTTGCCCGCGTTTTTCCTAAGTTCGCGACTTGAGATTGGGATAGAAGGCGGAAGTTATATTAATAGTAGTAGAGTAGGAGATTGCGCTGACAAGATTGGATACGTATCGATTGAAATCGCTGGAGAGTAGTAGATTGGGCGACTTCAAGCGAATAGATCAATACATATCTAATCTTGTCAGCGCACTATCCTAATCTACTACTATCCTACTATCCTACTAATATCGCAATCTACTACTCTCCAGCGATTTCAATCGATACGTATCTAATCTTGTCAGCGCAATCTCCTACTCTACTACTATCCTAATCTCGCCGTCAATACATATGTTTTTCATTGTCGCGTACTATCCCTAATCTCCGAGTCGCGAACTATGAAACCGGCCTTCACCACATCTTAACTCTAAGACGTCGGTGGCCACCATGAACCAGTTGAACCACCCACTTGATAACACTGTTGTTCTCTTTCTCCCCCTCATAATCGCGCCGAGCCCATTCGGTTAGACCCCCAAACAGAGAGCTATGGTGTCGAAGTGCTTCAGTGCATCATCCATTCTTGATCAAATTCGAGAAACTAACCCTTGAGAAGGTTCCAAAAACCCTGCCTATTCGATTTTCTATACCTAACTTTATGAACGGGAAGTTTATCTATTTATGCTGCTTCGATAATACTTATCACATCGCTAGCCCTCCTCGTTTCCTGCGCTAAGTCCCGCGCAGTAACAGTCCGCTAATGTCACTTTTCCAGAATCTATTGTATACACTAGTGGTACCTATACGTATTATCATCTGGTGTGAGGCTTCTGTCAATAAAAGGGTGAGAGCACTGGAAGAGCACACACTTTTGTCTTATTGGGACTAAGCCTTTTGAAGAAGATAAAGAAAGAGGAGATGCTGTGATAGTGTGCACTTGTGAGAGCTCCCAGACATCACTACAAAACGCTGAACCGCCAAGGCTCGCGGTTGACAGATGTCCTGAGACCATTACACACCTGAGGAGGGCTTCCTCGTCACTACCTGTACCAAAGCGTAACCGGCCTCCTATAACTAAACATATAAAATAACTACTTCCATTCCACGTTGATAGCATCCGCAAGCTATTTAACCAGTGACCGTAAGAAGAATTGCCAGCATTGATACACAATGATTTATAGATAAAGTAGATTTCTTTCTCTTTCGCCAGCTATCCGCTGAGTATATAATGGTACTTGTGGAAACCACGATTTTACGTAACTCTCAACTGGATTATATAGATGGTGTTTCAGTGTGGAGCACTGGCTCTTCGTATGAACCTTCAGAAATTCACAATTTGAATTTCCGCTAGATTTTGCCGTTCTAAAGTCTTGATGCTAAGCGCATTCTCCTTGGAGGCGCGATTAGATTAAATCTTGAGAAATTCAGCGTGACGCGTGGGCAAACTAGGCAGTTGAGAAAAAAGCGAAATGATCAGAATAGCAAAATGGACCTCTTTTTGCCATTGATTTTTCACCCCTGACAGGTAAAGCTCGAAATGAGGTATGAATGATCCCCGCCAGCGTTATGACCATGTCAACCAGCTTATCCGAATCTCCTCGCCGCTGTTACCCACGCAGCTCGTCCAAATCAGCAAGTAAACTAGTGGGCGGAGCGCTTTCGAAGTCCTGCTCAGCAACCAGCGCACCTTTCGTTGTGAAAGCGCCACATCTCGCTTCCCTGGCAACCAAGTAACTGATTCGTGTGGTGCACATGCTTTCCCTCTTTATCGTAATCGCTTCCTTTAAACAATTTCAGCCTCTGCATAAGATCCCGGTCCACCTCTCGGCCTTCCTGTAGTGGCTGATATAGGGTAGCTAAACTTGGTTCCACCTGATATATGTTCCAGCTCTATAAAATTCGTTCTGCCAAAGAGCGGTGGGGGATAGGTGGACCTCCAAAAACCACAAGTACGACTCTACTCGAGGAACATGGGCCAGTAGCTGGCCGACACTGCAGTATAACACTTGTTTTACACAGCAAACCAGCAAATTGCAATACAATACTTCATAGCAGACCAAAATCAAATAATACTAGCAATATATAACTAAACATTAATAAACATACAATTCAAGTTATGGCACGGAATACACACACACCCACACAAACCCAACACTTTACAAAACGCAACGGAGAATGTTGCGACCTCGACCGTAGAGACATTTGAGTGCGTTCTTGACCAATTAAAAAGACTTGCGGGGGCCAGCCGACGTTCAAGTCCGAGTTTTTATCCATACAGACAAGTCCAGTGTCCACCATCGATAACAAGTCGAGCAAGTGCAGTACAGCGCCTCCAGCCATCTCCTCACATTTGTTGCAAAGAAAGACCCCACTCCCGATCATTGTCTATACTACCAAGTCTAATCAATACTTATGGAAAAATTAATTGAGTGTTATGGTATCGTCCCCCGAAGCTACCCGTCTAATTACAGTATATCTAGCCGTGTTCTTCTAAACTACAGGGGTGGCCAAAAATAGAAACACCTTGCTCACGACGCACATCACCAAGCTTTTCGTTGC